GGCAAAACAATGTTAAAATTTTATATTTATCAGTTCTAATGGGTAACAATATATATCTATTTAGTGTTATTAATGAAAAACACAGTCACATACTTGTAATTTTTCTTAGCAAACTTGTTATTTAGCTTACTACTCTTGTCATTTGGCAATGAAATGTGGAAATAATGACAAGTTTCCATGAAACTTAATTTCATGATAAACCTAATTACAGAATTGTTATTTCGCTTATAACTCTTATCAATTGGCTTATTATTCTTGTCATTTGGTAGTAAAATGTGGAAATAATAGCAACTTTTCATGAAATTTAATTTCATGAGAAGCCCAATTACAAAATTGTTATTTCTCTTATTGCTCTTATCATTTGGCTTACTACTCTTGTCATATGATGGCGAAATATGAAAATAATAACAACTTTTTATAAAACTTAATTTCATCAGAAATCCAATCACATGCTTATAATTTTGCTTATTAAACTTGATATTTGGCTTACCACTCTTACCATTTGGCTTACCACTCCTATCATGTGGTAGTAAAATGTAGAAATAATGACAACTTTTTATGAAACTTTATTTCATGAGAAACTCAATTACAAAATTATTATTTCGCTTACCACTCTTGTCATTTTGCTTACCACTATTGTCATTTGGCTTACCGCTCTTGTCATTTGCCAATGAAATGTGGGAATAATATCAACTTTTCATAAAACTTGATTTCATTAGAAACCCAATCACAGGGCTTGTTATGTTGCTTACCAAACTCGTTATTTGACCTATTATTCTTGTCATTTGGCTTACTACTCTTATTCTTTGGCAGTGAAATATAAGAATAATGACAACTTTTCATGAAATTTAATTTTATGGGAAGTCCAGTCACAGGGCTTGTTATTTTGCTTACCACATTTGTTATTTGCCTTAACACTCTTGTTGTTGGCTATATAATATGAAAATAATGACAACTTGTTATGAAACTCAATTTCATGAGAAACCCAATAACATATTTGTTATTTCACTTAACACATTTGTCATTTGGCTATATAATATGGAAATAATGGCAACTTATCATAAATTAGGTAAATATCATGTAAGCTATACATAATTGTCATTGACAATTAACAACTTAGCCTAGTGAGCAACTAAATACTGTAATAAGCTCCTGTCCAAATTTTCGAAAACAAAGGGGATTCTTCCCAAAACATCCTGATGACATTCATGCCAAAAGTTTGACAATTCACCCTACCAAGTAAATTCAACACTTAATTACTTTTGATGTTATAACGAATAAGTTATTCCAAGTAATAAGTGAAGTATAATAAATCACAACTCTACAAATAACAGTTCTTTCTAATAACAATACTGCATATGGAAATAACATGTTTACTATTGTAAATAACAAGTAAAGTATAACAAATTATAACTCTGCAAATAATAACCATTCTAATTAAGAAGACTGAATATGAAAATAAAAAGTTCACTATTGTAAATAACAAATGAATTACAACAAATTACAACTTTGAAATAACTACCATTCCAAGTAACAATACTGAATATAGAAATAACAAATTCATAATTGAACTTGTGTCCCCAGATTAAAGTAATCGTCACTAGTGTTCCAGAAGTAAAGCTTGATAAAATTCAAACCACATAATAGAAACCTTTAACATATCCAAAATCATATAAAGGTGATCAAGTACTCAACATGTGATTAGAAAAATCATTAATCATTTTTTGGGGATTTTGATCAAGTTAATTAATTAATCATGCATGCTTGAACCACATACTAAAAGACAAAACCTATTTCAATTTTATTAGAGAATGAGCTCACAAAAACATATAATGATAAGCGTTTGCTTCCCAATTGTGCGTTTAAAATAAGTTAGAGGAGGGAGCTTATTTTCAACCCTGAAGAGCTTATTTACTGTTCTAAGTGTGTCAGAAAACTTTTGTTCCCTCTTTCTCTCCCTTCTGGCATTATTATTCTCGTGACTTCACATGTTTTCTTTTTATCTAGAGCAGTCACCGAGTCCTCTCCCTTCTGCAATATTTTTTTCATTTATGTGATGTTTTTGAATTTAATTTACTCAATCAATTTCACTTCTTCATATTAAATTAATTTAAATTTATTGTATTATCTCAATTCGTTTTTTTTTTGCCATGTTTCACTTTATATTTAAAATATTTTTTATGACTTCTTTAAAGTTTTAAAATTTAATTCACTTATTAAATTTGACTTCTTCATATTAAATTATTTTAATTTCATTCTATTATATGAAATTATTTTTTTTAATCATGTTTCATTATTTATTAAAACTCATACCCATTTTGGTCATTTTACAATCAAATTTACTTTTACTCGACTATAATCCAAACAACTTTTTACCAATCTCACTTTTGCAAACTAGCTTTTCTGAATTCCAATCCAAACACAATTCAATTTATCCAAGTTAGCTTTTAGCCAACTTTACTTTTTCAAAAGCTACTTTTCTAATAAGTTACTTTTCTAATTGTTGATCCAAACAGACCCATATCTTGTATTGTTTGTAGGGTAAAGGGGCATCCAGCACCCCAAATTTTTTTTTCAGGAACACCCACCACCCTAATCTTTTTTTCAGTGTAATTTTACCCACCATCTATTTTTTTTAGTGCAATTTAACCCAATTCCAACAGACCCCCAACGTCTGTTAAGAAATTTTTTTTATAAGTCCACATCAGCACAGCTAAGAGGATGAAAATTGATAGATAATAAAAAGAAGGGAAAAAACAAACCGAGCTCGTGCGCCCACTTTGCAAGCACCAAAACCCCACCTGTTTGTGCGATTGGGAACACTAGCATTTAGTGAAGGAAAAGGCAACAAATTCGTGCGAGGAAAGTTGTCTTGATTTGGAAAGGTAACAACCTTACTTTTGTTTTCCTTGTATGGTCCCACATTTGAAATCAAGTTTGTTGAAAGGGGTTTTATAATCAGAAAATGACGGAAGATGCGAACCTGGGAGATGATGTGGAGTTGGATGAAGATGATATGGCGTGGGACGAAGATGATGTGGCATTTGATGTGTCAGTTGCTGAAGATGATGTGACGGTCCATTTGTCAGTGACTGAAGGCGATCTGGAGACCATCAGTTGCTCTGACGTCGATATAGGGACAAGGAAGCTACGTTGAGGAACAAGATATGAAGTTCAACACATTGGTAAGGCTCACATAGTTGAAAGAATTTTTGAAGTAGTTTGAGAAGGATAATCAACTGCATTAATATCATGATGAATTCGAATGATAAGAGTTTATTCAATTACAATCAGGTATGCGATTATTGTTTGGCTACGAAGTTGTTTCTGTCTAAGATCAAATGTCATTCTTGAATATGTACTCGAGAAGACCAAAGACCAATTCTCGAATATGTATTTGAGAAGACCAATTCTCAAATATGTATTCAAAAATATCAGTTCTTTAATATATATTTAAGAATTGGAGCCCATTCTCGATGTTTGGCTAACTAGCTCCTATGCTTGCTAAGGTCAATTTTACCTTGGCAATGGAGATTTTTTATTCATCGTTTTCCTCACGGCCTTCGCTGCTAGAATTTGCAATTCGTTTAGGATTCCAATGCTTGCAAAGTCAAATTGCTCCTCTAAAACAAAGGAGACAGAGTATGAAGGAAAACAAAAGTAAAATTTCGAAGTAAGATTGTTACCTTTCCAAATCAAGACAACTTTCCTCGCAAGAATTTGTTGCCTTCTCCTTCACCAAATGCTAGTGTTCCCAATCGCACAAACAGGTGAGGTTCCGGTGCTTGCAAAATGTGCACATGAGCTCGGTTTGTTTTTTCCCTTATTTGTATTATCTATCAATTTTCATCCTTTTAGCTGTGTTGACGTGAACTTATAAAAAAAAATTTCTTAACAGACGTTAGGGGATCCATTAGAATTGGGTTAAATTACACTAAAAAATAGATAGTGGGTAAAATTGTACTAAAAAAAAGATTGGGGTGGTGGATGCTTTTAAAAAAAAAGAGATTTTGGTAATGGGTGCCTTTTTATCCTAGTTTGTATTAGGTAATCTACCTGCAAACACATAACTGAATCTAACCAAAGTCTTATCCAGAAATTTTTTTGGTATTAATTTTGGCTTGTGTTTTCAGCCATATAAGTGGCAGCTAGAAACCGATAGTGAACAAACCACTCCTCAACTTTCTTTCAGTCAAATTTCTAAGGAAACAAGCTAAAGAAACAGAAAAAGCAATCGCAGCCTGGACAAAATGAACCTGAAATTCTCAGCAATTTTGGGGGGCAACATTGGCAAACAGCTTCATCTTGTATCAACAATCTTTTCACAGATAGAGAAGAGAGAGTGAGAGCAGGGGGGAGATGGGGGTGGCATTGAGGAAGGAGGTGGGGTTGGGGGAGAAGGAAAAGAAAGAAGAAAGAGAGGAAAGAAAATGACGGAGAGAGGGAGGGAAAGAGAAGAAAGAAAGAGGAGAGGATGAGATGGAAGAAATAAAAAAAGAAAAAAGGCATTTTGTTCATTTCAATATTATTTCATATTCTCTTCTGGGATAATTAAGTTAATTTAAAAACCCATTCTATAATTTCATATGTTCTGGGATTTTTATTTGTAATTTTTCTAAATTAAAATTGTTCTTGACAATAATTTAATTTTGAACTCGTTTTTTTTGTGTAAACAACATTTAGTGTGGTACTTGGTAAATATTACTTTTGATCTTTAATATAAGATCTTATTTAACTTTTATTTTGATACTAAATATAAGATCTCAATCTATTTTATTTATTATATTTATATATTTTTTTAAGGTTCTAATAATAGTAATTCTAATCAATACACTTAATTAATAAAAATATTTTAAGAAAAACAATACTTATATATTACAAATAACTAATTTAATTTATTTTTTTAATTTAGTCAAATTAATTAATTAGTTTTTATATTTAGCAGGTGAGGAAGTATTTTTTATCTTTGGATAAATTTATCATCGGAAGCATCATCGGAGGTATAATGAACATAGTATATCTGTATTTATATGTAGCAGCAAGAACCAAATTAGAGGGAAGACTGGACAAACTAGCGGAGTTGAAGGCCACCGGAAGTTCCCTCATCGGAGAGAAGACGCGCAAGATGTCGCTGGTAGACTACGCTTCCTCTTCGGACGAGGAAGCTCCCGATTTCGTTGAAGAGCCCCAACATCCTCAAGACAATCCAGCGGCACAAGCATCGGCATCGGAACCTTCACCTCCTGCGACGCAGTAATTCTCAGTTTCTTTTGACCCCGTTTCTTTTCTTTACATGCTGACATCACTTCCTTTCAGAAATCGATTGTTGAGAAATTGCTTGTAAATTATAAATGGTTGCTGTGCACACTTGCTTATTGCGAAAATGAGAAAATGCTTATATATGGATTTCTAATGGAATACTGTTGTTAGGATATTCTGATACTGGAAAATTCCGGAATCTGGTTGTGCTTGGTAGGAATTCAGACCTCAATGTGCTTTTGAGAAAGTGAAATATGGAGGAATTTAACGTCAGGGATGTATTTAGACCTTTAGTTCCAATACTCTGCCAAAGTTCACTTCCGCATTTTCCACATTTCTCTTTCCAGTCCTAGCCATCACACCCTCCATTAAGGGTGTTTGAAACCGACAAAACCCAACTCATGGAAGGATTAAATCGTGGAAAAACTTGTCAAAATGACTGAAATTGTTCTGGTTTCATATTCTTTAAAGGGAATCCAGTAGGTTTGGTCTCCTTTTCAGTTGGAAAATTTTCCCTAATGTAAATTGCAAATTTCATGTTTGTAATTTGTAAAATTTACAGACCAAACATGTTATGAATGCAGGATGCGAATGTTTACTTCTTATTCTCCGCTTGTTGAATTCCATCTCCAGACCCTACAAATGAACTTTAGTTCTTCTTTTTCTGTTTGGTACCTTGGAATATTTTGGGAGTTTGTTTATGAATAAATTTTATAAAATTTGGAGCACTCATTGCTGACTCTTTTAACAAAATTCGGCAGATGGAGGGGGAAAGCGGCTTGGTGTTGATGTGTTTTGTAAATAGGCCTGGGTTTACTTGGATGGAACATAATGTTAATATTCACAATGGTTTTTGGTTTATGTCTTTTCAGCTTATCAGTGATTGAATTTCTTTTTAGCCTCTCTTATTCTGCTCCACTACGATTTCTTCAAGGAATCCTTGATAATTTGATGAATATTTCGAGTGACCCTTGTTTGCTTTCCACACCCCCACCCTTTATGTTTGGCTAGTTCTGATGTTGAGACCAAGAAAATTTGTTTTACTCTTGTATCTCTTTAAAATCCCTTTAAATAGATAGATTTTCTGGAAAATATTTTTTAATTCAACATACAAAATGTGAGTGTATGAGATATAGAAGGTAATCATGCTACCTACTGCCTGCTGTTTGATAGACCGTATTACCAAAATATGACAGAGAGAAACGGAGAAGACTCTAAGGGAGTGTGTATATGCTTACATTATCTATTTAGCATTGCCTATACTGATGGTGCTTCTTGCTCGATGAATATGGTCTCTGGATTCTGTATTTTTTTGCTGCATTTTCAATATGTAGGACCAAATCAGGATCTTCATCAGACCAGGAGCCGGAAAAAAAACTAGATTTGCCACCTCCTTCTTTGGAGAAACTTCCTGATGCTTCACTTCTATTAAATTCACCAGCGGTATCTTCCAATCTGATGAATACTAGCGACCACTCCTCTCGAGTAGCGGCTGCTCAGGCTGAAAATGCCTTTCGTAAGAGAGACTCAAATGGGTTGGCTCCCTCTACACTTCGCAGTAAAGTTCCTAGAGGTGACTTGCCTCCTTCAAGGACTGTTCCAGATACTTCCAGTGGGATGCTAGTTCCACCTCAGGTCAAAGGAAGGTTAGTTGTGAAATATTATAGAATAATTCTATTAGCTTCTAATACGCTCATGTTGCGCTCACTAGACGTTTTTAAAATCTAGCTTTTTATTTTTTAATAGAAATATTATGTGATAATCGGTAAACAATCCAAATTGGTGGTGGGTGACATTTAGACAATAACCTTACTTTGAAATTGGCATCGACTTACTGCTTCAGTCTGTTATTTACTCATTTTATATTTTTTAATAATATGATAATTTTTGCTGTTTTTCGTATGTACCGTATTTTAATTTTATTGGGACTACTGGCTAATGTTCTGCAACTTTCTATTAATATTATTTTTAATCATTGAGAAAGGACTATTAAGAATCTCTCTTGCTTGTATAGCAAAAAAGTAAACAAAAATGGGAGAATAAAAATAAATTGTCTCAAAGCCCTCCAATCCTTGCGTGAATCAGAAATGGGGGAGGCCTACCTTGTACCGAAAAGACTTTAGCTCCTCAAAGACCTTCATCTTACATTTCCCTCCAGGTGTTTTTTTTTTTGGTTGGGGGGGTGGTTGATGCGTGGGGGATTTCTAAGGAAAGCGGAAAAATCTGATATTTACCTGATTCCCAAACAACCTGCTTACAACTGCCACATCAGCATGTTTTTGAACTTCTGTAACACATGACAGGAGCCTTTGCCAGAGAAGAACGGGGGGATCACATCAGAGCATTATTGGGGGTAGAATACAGAGACACACCATTTGGTCTCTTAATTATATACCTCTTGACAGTTTTTGTTTAGATTTCATCTTCTAAACAATTTAATCCTTCGAAACTTGTACCTTTCTATCTTTTAAACGTTAATCCTGCTGTTGGATTGAATTGTTCATTCACTCTCAACTATGAAGGACTAACTCAATTGCGCATGAGTTTGTTATGAAGAGATTTGTTTGCATAGGAGGGGGGGGGGGAAATCCAAGGATTACATCATAAGGAGGCATAGTTTTGAGGGACCAGATCGTATGGTCACTTCGGACTAAAATTGCAAGAAGGGGGAAATTTCCACAGAAAAGATAACATATTTGGGATTCAACCCCTAGTTGCATAGGAAGTAGAGGAAAGAGAGAGGGGGTATTCGTGGGAGACGAACCTCAATCCAAGAACTCATAACCCCTAGTTGCATATTTATTATTGATAGCCATATTGCCATACAGAGCGAAGAATTTTCCAAACTATAGTCCTCCTGCCTATGCTGAAACTTGTATGCCGGAGGCATATTCTTCTGTTGTCGTATCTTCTATTATATACTTCTGTTGATTTTATTGTATTAAAATATTGAACTCTATTTATAACACAGAAGAGGTATGATGTCATCTCCCTGTTTTTCTTGTTGTAACCATATTTTCAGTAAGGCACACTGCTTATGCTGCAGCGTCTTCTATCAGATGACATGTATTCTTACGACTTTTGGATCCCCCCTCCCCCCAAACCCAGGGGAACATTTTAATTTTATTCAATATGTGTTTTTTATGAGAATAGGTTCTTACCAGTCAAATTTCTTAAATGCCAAAACGAAGCAGAAGCAAATTGTCTAACCACATGACGGTTTATTATTGTTTGTTTGAAATAGTGTGGATAGATATCACCAAAAGAAAGAAGGAAATTGCCTGGATAGATATGATTATAAATCCATGGCTTGGTGTTCTTCTCACGTTTTTCTGTTCTTGTTTAAGCCAAAGCTAAGATTACAGTTTGTACACGGGACTCTTGCATATATTTATCACTGAAGACATCTGTTATTGGATCCACTGTTGAAATGATACTAGTATTCATGGAATTCTGATTTGTGTTTTACAGGAGTAACGTTGTTACAGAAGACATGGCCAAGCTATTTGTCAATAAGCCCAAGCCTTCATCAGCTCACTAGAGATCACATAATGATGAGCGACTAACTTGCAGCCTCGCATGTTCCAAGCACTGTAACTGTGGAAGGCCTTGTTAAATTTGTACTTCTTACTCTAGTATGGACAGCTGCATAGTTTATTTACAACCCTAGGCTCTTCTAAACTTTTATAGGGGAAGATACTGATCCAAAATGTGTGAAACTTGTAGGAGGAACATGAGTAGTTTCTGTGAGACGGATATAAGTTTTGCGCAGGTCTCTTATTTGAAGAGAATTTAAATTTTAAGCTGATTGTTGTTGATATAATGGGATAAACTCCCTGAGAAATATGTAACCTCGGTTGTGTTTTCTCATGTTATTAAAAAAAGATTGATTTTTTTTAAAAATTGATTATTTAAATTTTATTATATCTATGTTTCATTTCATATTAATTAAGTTCCTATAATTTCGAAATGGCAATATGAATGGTTTTCATAATGTGTAAGTTCAAATAAATGTTTTTAAAACATCAAATAAACTTCATCCTAAGGCTGGCATCAATTTTGAGAAATACTACCTCTGGTTCTAATTATACTATTTCTGGTTTTAAATATAAGAACTATTTGATTAATTTAAACAGATTAAGAAAAGAAGTTAATTTAGTTATTTGTAATAAATAGGTATTGTCTTTTCTAAAATATCCTTACTAATCAAGTTTATTGGTTAGAACTACTATTATTAAAGGGACTATCTTAGGAAAGAATGTATAGATATGAGAGATAAAGTGGATTGGAGTTTTATAATTAGGACTAAAATAAAAGTCAAAAGAGGTCTTATATTAAGGATCAGAGATAGTAATACTCAACAAAAGAATGAGTGAAACTTTACTTGACGTGGATATTACATCTACAGTCCACTTACAATATTAGATTATTTAAATTATTTAGGAGTATTGTCTTCTAAATCATAAAAGATTTTCCTTTTAAGTGATTATGGGAGTTTGCCACAGAAACACCAAGTATTGTGTTCAACTCTATCAATTCATGTCAAAGTTCAGCTTTTCAAATTTTATTTGATTCATCGACTAGTCTTTTTAATTAGACCTAATCCGAATTGAATTTTTTTTTTTTGGGGTACAATAATCTGAATTGATTGAATTCAAAATCCGATCTGCAAATGTGCTTAATATTATTCAGATTCCGTAGGCCCACAACTTTCTATATGAGCCCAATGTGATTGCGTTCCAATTTTTGACGACGATGCTGTTCATGTATGGCCCTCACACCAATAAATGTCTATCAGGTTTTAGATTTACGTCAACATTACCAACGGGAGTTGAGTCTAGCAAAAGGAGTTAACGTAACGAACTAAGATTCAAATTCTTATTAGAAAATGTATCCACAATTAGTGCTCGACAGTACCTTAAATAGGATTGTCTCTAATAGATTTACATCAACATTTAAATTTAAGTTAGTCTAAAATCTAAAAATATTAAAGTTTGAGCCATAACCTGACTTGGTCAATGTTTAGTTGACCATAAGAATAAATTAAGACAGAAAGAGTTAAAGCTAATTATTGATTATTGTAAAATATGAAAAGACAAGAATAATTTAATTCAAATTATTAGAATATAGATATGAATTACGAGTTAGTTGATGTACTTATAATATTCACGAGAACAAAAGTGTACTTAAATTTTTTTTTATGTTTTTTTAATATCATGGTCTCTTTTTAACACATGTACTACAAAAACTGTCTCTAAATTGTAATAATGATATTCACCACTATGGCAGCACATTGTTCTGTTCAATTCAAGACATGTCCATGTGATGACATGTTCATGTTGAGTACATGTGCTAATTATGAACTTTTTCATTTTTTACTACTATATAATATTATACATTACCTCCTCTTATCTTAATTCTTAAATATAGAAGTTAGATTAAGAAAAAAATTTACTCCGATCTTGAATATAAAACTTCTATTTACTTTTTCTTATAAATTTAAATTTTTGTTTTTTTGAGTAATAATATTAACTACACATACATAAGAGGTTTTTTATAGACATCTTAGGGAAGCCAATATATATTTATTACAAATAAATAATTTAATTTAAATAATTTCTGTAAATTAATTAACTAGCTCAAATTTAAAACTGGAGGGAGTATTAAGTAATTTACATAGGAAAAGTTGGATACAGATAGATAGTAACTCTTAAAACATGATTTTTTTTAATCCATAAAGTTTAAATCTTCAATTTTCAACCTTACTTAAAAAAATGAAGTTCCTTCTGCTATACTAAACCAATTATGTTATTCAATTTGCCAATGCATTGAATCATACATATTGCAATGTGATCATTGGACATCCTTGCTTTGACCTTGATGTTATGAGTATTGCAGACAAAATCACTTGATGCCTTGGGTTGTAACTTTTGTTTTGGTCAAGTGTATGCAATGAATAGCGCCCCCAAAAAAAAAAAGCTCACCTTGAATATGATTGGAATAAGGCTTTGTCATGTATGAAGTATTAACAATAGTACTAGGTTCAAACTTCAACAAAAACAGCTACAAAGATGATCATCCAAATAGGGATCCAATGGATTTTCATACACTTATGATTGAAAACCAATCCCACTTTTGTGTTTACGGAAAAGAGACTCAATTTCTTGAAATTAAAACTCAATCTCAACTAATCAATCAAAAAAATAAATCAATAAATCAGTCTCCTAGTTAGTAAGGGTGTTCAACAATGTCTCATCCCTATCTCAATCATTTTGGGATGTAACAATCTTGTAAAGGGGGACGGGACGCAAGGCAAAGATATCCCGTCCCAATGTAATATCTTTATTTTTAATTTGTATGAATTTATTTTATTCATCATAGTAATAGTATTTTGATAATGATATTTATCAATTTTTTTTATTTGTTTATAAGTTGTTTTGTATGAATTATGTGATATTCTATGTAGCGAATATTTTAGGTTTGTTTATTTTTTGTCTCTCAAGATTAAAAAAAGGACAAAACTTATATCCAGTGCGTTATATCCAGTTTGTCCTGTTCCCCAATCAACACCTGACATGTGGATTAGATTTAAATTACGCCCTCCAACTCATTAATTCACTTTGACGCCGTCAATGGACGTTTCTGTAGAAAGGGCTATTTAGTTGATAATATTTTGCCCTCCTCCATTCCTCTTCATTTTGATATAATTTCTTCTCCTTCACCTTGTCAATAGTCGATTTCTCCAAAAAGCAAAGAAATTTTCGACATAGCAAAACCATTGAACCACAGTAAGAAGCCAATACTAGCATTTTGTGGTATCTATTGTGAAATAAAAAAAGAAAAGTTATGAAGGATTAAAAAATCAATCCATGAACAAACAATTCTGAATTACTATTGAAAACTGTAGCCTTCAGATCAACTTCGTCTATCCGCACGAATGGGTTTCAAAAAAAGTTTCATAGAAACATGCTCGTTCTACACTTGAAACGGGGATTTTATTGGGATTGACTCTTCAGATGAAGTTTTTGGTCCAAATATTGCTCAGTCGTCTCTGAATCTCGCCTTCTTCCAACTCCTGATGAGATCAAAGAGAAGAAGACAATGGGCTATTCGCAGAAACAGGAGACGGCGAATTGCGCAAGAGACATGTTCGCTTTTCGCTGCACAGTTAACTTCGTTGATGATGGGTTGCCAAACGGCGTTAAATGACCAAGCGAGATGGCAGGTGAGGTGTAAAAGTAATCCACATGTCAGGTGTTGATTGGGGAACAGGACACACTGGATATAACGTACTGGATATAAGTTTTGTCCTTAAAAAAAACTTTTCTTTGTCCTTGTTTTCTCATTTTTATTTATTTTTTTGTATGGTTTTTAATCATAAGTTCTTATATTTATGTATAGTTAATTTTCAAATTAAAAAAAAAAAAAAGATAAAACGTCCCTATCCGTCCTAGTTATGTTGGGATGAGACGCTATTAGGACAAAACAAGATGGGACACGAGGTCGTTCTTGTCCAGTTCTCTCCTGTGAACACCTCAACTAGTTTTTTTTTTTGGTTCCCCACCCGGTTCACCAGAGTTTTGCCCTGACTACGTCCGGATCCGATCCGCGTCGCGCACCTGGGTATGGTAGATGAGTCTCCCAACGGGGGTTTTCTGCATCCATGAGGAATCGAACTCGAGACCTCACTTAAGCGGAACCGAGCCGCTTACCACTCGAACCAACCCCGTTGGTACACCTCAACTAGTTAAGCCAATTGGGTTGGTCTATTTTTTTCTTCTTCTTTTTTTTGGGCCTCTTGCCAAGCTTGAAACGATGTCATTTTGGGTGAAAAATAGTAATCCGTCATATTAGTGTTTTAGTACTTTGTTTTACTAGAATATATTTGGTTTATATATGAATGTTTTATTTATTAATTAATTTATGATTCTTTATTTAAATACTACTATTGTTAAGGTTATATATTAATAATTTTTATATATTTTAATTAAATTATATTATTTGAATCATGATTGTGTTAACTCCAATTTTATCATAATTGAACTAGTAAATCTTGAAACAAAATTTCGACGAATTCAATGATCCGTCCAATTTCAGTTTAAATAAAATTAGATATACAAATATCACACAAAAAAATCACGTTAAGAGAACTAATTAGATGTCTCAATACCCAATGTAATAATATTTGTTACCAAATATTCTAACAAAAGAGAATTCCTCATTAAATAAAATTTGAATAGAGAATTCTGATATTACTAGAATAATTCATGTGTCAATATTTCCAATAATCAAAACAATTATTTTATGTTAAACAATAATGATTTTTTAAAAAATAATATTATGAAAAAATTAATCCCTCTGCATTTGTAGAATCTTCTAGTTAACTAAAACTTATTGTATAAGAAACTGGTATAATTTTAGGTGAAGAGTTTGTATCAGATTTACTTGTCTATTTTCTGTTCAAATCTAATGAAGGTTGAGTGAATCTCTTCAATATCCAAGATTCTCTCCAAAACCAATAAGTATTCCTTAATCTGACCAAACTAGTCACCCAAAATGATTAAAAAAATTAACCATATAAAAAAAGTAAACAATTAATCTTTCTGGTCTTAAATATAAAATCCATTTTGTAGTGTAACTTATACTACAGAATAGGTATTATATTTAGGATTAAAGGTGTATTATTTATTAGTAGGTGTTATCATCTTATAGCATTGTTACTTAAAACATTAGCTATAATTCTTCCAAGAAAAGCACTAGAATTTACAATCACAATTTATCAAAAAGTTTCGCGACTTCATTTTTAACAAGTTAATACCCCTGACAATTCTAAATGTATGAGTTATATAATTAATTTATAAATATTGAAAAATTAATTAAATTATTTATAGTAAATGTGTGTATTGAAATACTCCCTTCGATCATTGTTTGAGAAAATAATTACAAGTTTGAAAGATAAAATAGATTGAGATATTATATTTAATACCAAAATAAACTCCTTTAAATAATTCTTATATTTAAAATGGGTTCAACTAACAAATTGATCAAACTAAAATAAATGAAAATGATTTTTTTGTGTTGGCAAAAAAAATGCAAATGATTTGTTTTTGTTAGTTTGTGATACCGGATGTAAATAATTACTCAAAAAATACACACACATATATATAACTATCACAATGGTTTAAAAAATAAAATAAAAAAAATAAAAAATTAATTATGATTTGTTTACCAAAAAATTAATATTTCTAAAAACAATTATAAAAAAGGGGAAGCTCTGTAGAAAATAATTTCCCATCTCTAGTGAATAGTGATGTCCAGTACGCATTTGCCACCAAAAAAAAAATCCAAAACCTTAAAAAGGGTGACGTGGAAAAAAAAAATGTCGTAATCAGATTTGGGGAACAGGATTATAACATTGATGGATACAATAAATCTGTCCCCAAAACACAAAATCTAGTCACACTTAACATCCATTATCCAATCAACCAAACACCACCTTTCGCTTCCCCCAATTATTGCTTTCTCCCTTCCCTAATGTTCTCTCCTCAATTTTTTCCCCTTCTTTTTCTTATAATAATAATAACAAGAATAACAGTTCAAATCTAAAAAGGAATAAGATTTTAAGGGTTAGTTTTAAATATTTAACTCTTTAAAAGAAATAATAGTAATTAATTTTTTAAATTTTGATGAGGTGCCTATTTATTTTTTGTACTTGACATTAGATCCTAGAGGTAGTTACCCTGTTGAGATTTTTTTTCCTGCATGATAATAATAGTTTGAACAATAGTTATATCATGTTCTTTTTATTTATTATGTTGAGTTCTCTGATAACACATAATCATGTGTCATTTTCTTAAAATATTAATTTTTAATAGTATTTAGTTATAAATTCACATGAAATAAAAGAAAGTTTAATTTGAAAACTTGATATAATGAATATAAAGATTAATAGTTTTATTTGATAGTTCTATTTTTTTTGTGGTAATAAAATCTCGATTTTTTGATTAAAAAATATAAATAAAAAATATTATGACCTTTCAGAAGCTTCTCATAACTTTTTCCTTCTCTCACCACAAAACAAAAAATAACAGTAAAAAATATTTTTCCATTGAAAAAGACAAATGTATATCAAATGTAGATAGATCGTTAAAATTTAAATATTTAATTGAACAAATTCGAAAATATCGGCTGTGTATTTTTTTGCAGGACGCGCGAAAAATCGATGAAGCTCCTCTCTCTCTCTCTCTCTCTCTCTCGCCAGTGATCTTTCGCTCTCAGTCCCAGTCACTGCCCTACTGACGTGTCAAACCCAACTTCTTCGAAACGTCGCCACGCCTTCGCCTTCAGATTTGGCTTATTCTTATCCATAAGGTGCGCCGTTCCGATTCTGCTCCGTTTCTTCTCTCCTCTTTCTTCAACTTTCTTGCCTACTTTTCGAGATCTGGCATTTATCAATTTTTTACTTTATTGGTGTAATTTTCCCTGTTCTAAGATTTGTTTGTAATTTTCAAATTGATGGGTTTCTCAATTTCATTGAGTTCAGCTAGGCGTTTTCACAAACACCTAGGGGGCAGTTAAATCAAAAGTAACCACGTAGAGACTGCGGTTACTGTCACAGACCCCGAAAGATTCCAGAAACCGTGCAATTTTGTCATACGTGTGGGCAAATATTTCTGCTTTTACATCTGTGCATATCCTTTCCGGTCAGCAAGATAGAGAAACATCAGGACTTTATATATTTATAAAATCTGTACGAACATCCTACTTCCTCTCTAGAGATGGATTCAAGAGAGAATGTGGCCAAGGCTCACATGGGTGGGTGTTGATGGTGGGGCCGGACCCATACACAACCTGGCATCTTATAAATGTGTAGGCCTCACTTGCAGCTTCAACAACCCCATACATGAGAGACAGTGAATCCCCGTGGGACCCCCCTCCTTTTCTCCCCACCAATGATGGCACAGGAAATAAAGACACACCACCCCCCCACCAAGTTACAAATTTTGAAAATGAAAGTTTAATTGCAGCAACAAAGAGACAAGAATTCATCTATAAATAATAACAAAAGAGAAGGGTAGGCAAGGACACAGACCATTCTGTCTAGAAATCTCTACTCTCTTTTTTTGCATTGTGATTTTTCTTCTAAACCTTTCTCTTTAGTCTTTGCTTTCAGGTAATCTCTAAAGGGCTTTGTTGACTGTGTATATTATAAACTAAGTAGGAATTACAGACAAACTACAACACAACAGAGGTTGACGTCTGAAATCTCCACTTTGAAACTTCAGCCAGCTAGGAATAACAATCATCCCCTCCCTTTTTCCCTTCTGGCCTCCAAAGTCAAATTGTCCATAATGGAATTTGATTGATTGAATCAGCCCCGGTAGTTACAACTCAGCTTCTACTTGTTTTCACTTCTTCATGTTTTATCTGCTTGTGCTCCAGCAAATCCAAGGACTCAAATTATACCTCTAAGCTCTAAAACATCGCAGGACTGAAGACTTCAATACATTCAACCCTAGCAATTAAAGGGGAAGGGGAAGAAGAAATTACAGTACCAGGGACTTTAGTTCTTCCTAATACCAATAGACTCAGATTCTTTCTACGTTATTTTTTTTCTTTAACCTGTGGTTCATTCACTTTCAGCTACTACACAAAATGAGAGACGAGAAAGATGGACAATGGTACAATAATGACAATAAAAGAAAAAGGAATGGCTGCCCCACTTCCTTTACTAAACTGCTTTTTACGTATGCATTTTGTATGGTAGTAAGGAGTATAGTATTGATGATGATGTTGATGGGCTTGGTGGTGGTGATTCTCTACAGATTTGTTTGCTGTTCCTGGTCTTCTTTGGTCCATTACTTCTCTCTTCCTGCAAAATTTGTATTTGTATTTGCACAAAACAGACAAAATAAGACCAAGCAGACCCAAAATTCAATAAACAAAGAAACACAAGATGCTATATGCAAGTTGAAGACAACATGCAATAAAGCGAGCACAGAATTAAAAGAGATCCAAAGTCATTTACCCGAAGCTCAGGATGCTAAATGGCGATGGGTCCACCCTTGCCGGCAAACATTTCAATGTTTCCGTGGCTGGAAGAAAACCTATATTAAAACCCAGATCACGTATTTTAAAATTTAAAATTTATAAATTTATAAATAATTGAACTCATTGTGACAATGGGATTGAATTTGCTTTTTAAGGCCAAGGTTCCCTTGCAACTTTGTTTGGACTAATCAATCCCCGTCCAATCTGAAAACTTTGAAGTGATTCCAGGAGATAGTAGTACCTTGGAATTTGACAGTTAAAGGACTTGAAAGATCCCATGTCAAGAGAAGATGTTGCTGGAGGAAATGCACTTGTAGTACCGAATTCAGAGTTGGTAGATGCAGCTGAGCTATCGGAATCAAGGGCCTCGTTAGGTCCTCCGTTGGAGAAGGCAGCCACGTAGTCTCCAGCAGCTTTTGTTGGAGAAGCAAAAGGGCTATCTGGGAGGTTATGCTCCAAACTGCATTTATTCAGGAACCTAAACAGATAAATACATTACCTTTGACAATTTAATTTGGAAATTTGAATTATTGGAATAAATGGTTGGATCCAATTAGCATGGACTAAAAGAGGAATCTAAAGGAGATAAAGATGTTTGCTATTCTAGTAGCCTTTTAGCACTTCTGAATGAGAAAAGTTTCATACCATTCTTGAAAATTACAGTCTTCATGACTAGTGCTTTGCTTGCCATTCCCATTGCCATCACAGCCACTGCCCCCTCCATTCTCGCCATTGGGTATAACTTTGCCAACAGAAACATTGACCTTCGGCTCCATTGGTGGCTGCTGACCAGCAGAAATCTGTGCCGCGCTAGGAGGAGCAGAGCTCAAAACACTTTCTGGAATCAAACATAAATCTCGACCAGTTCATTCCAATTCCCAGAAAGAACCATGTAAAATTAAGACCAGTCGCAAGCAACTGCATTTATTAGATTGTCTTAAGCTTATATACCCTCTAGAGAAGCTTCAGAGCTGCCACCATGACATGAAGGAAGAACAAGATTCTGATTGAACATGTTGGGAGATTGAGTAGGGGAAGGAATTGGGCTTCCTGTTGAGAATGCCCTCTGGTGCTGCTTCTTGATGTCAAGAAATTGTAGACCCATGAGTCTCCTACTTTGAAGCTCAAGAGCTTGCTGCAAGTCAGTTTGCTCCTCCAGCTTCCTCCTCCACAGCATATCTTGGGTATTATAGTACATTCTCCCTCCTAAGTTTTAGGAAACAGTTGGCATCTCAAGGCGAGCTCAAACTCTGAGACAATCAAAGGCAAAAGAAGGAACTTACCAAGTTGAAGATCAAATGGATCTCTAGCATCAAGCCCAGTAGGAGTACCACAAGGTGAGAAATCACCCCTTTCAACTTGTTTCCTGTAGAAGAAATGAAATATGTTGTATTAGAAAAGCTCAAGGATTTTGATAGGTAAAACTATGCACACATCAAGAAAAGACGGAGAGAATGCCTGTACTTGTCCGGGACTTTGCCTTTTTCCTTGTAAGGCTTGACTAGCACGCGAGCATCACAAACAAAGTGGGGGTTTCCCTTTGATAGAATGAGCTTCACTGTCTCTGGATAAACAAAGGTCACAAATCCAAACATACGCTTCTGCTGGTATGGAATCCTCACATCTTGAACAGGACCATAAATGCTTCAACAAAGATAAAAGGGGAAAAAAAAAAAAAGAAGAATAAGAAAGTTAACTTTTGCTTCCAGCAATAATTTAATGTTAAGGTCAAAGCAGAACAAGAAGCAACCTGAAGTAATTTGAAACATCTTCCTCTCTGAAAGTACTATCCGCCGGAAAGGTCAAGTAGATCTGCCTCGAAGCTGGGTTCCCAATTCCACAACCTCCACTGAGAGAAAAATCGTTTCTTTCAAGCCTGGATCGCCCAAACTTGTGCAAATCCTCGTTCATCATAAGTGCAGCTGCAGCTCTGCATACATCACATCAAAAAACATGGTTATAGATTAAAAAAGTTTTGATATCTAAGAAAACCCATTACGAAACACAACTCTTGTACCTCTGGGAATCAGTTTGCTGCTGTTGCAGTAGAAAATTCATGCCCTTTGGAGAGTAAGGCAAAGAAGAAGCCATGAGCAATCTTTGCTGTTGAGCACTTTTAGATCTGAGAAGCTCATGGCTGCTCTGGTCCAACATCTCAATCTTGCTAGGAGACCCAACCATTGAAACACCATCAGAATCTCCAATTCCTCCTCCATGAAGGAACCGACAGCTAGTACCGTTTTTGCAGTAACCTCTAGCAAAGTAAAGACAAGGCTTCCAGCCCAACCCAGAATTCGGATCCTCAGACCCCAAACAAGCTTCATTAACGGAGCAACTCCGGCGATGGACTGACCCGCCCCACCCGTAAGAGGGAAAACCAGTAGCGTCGCCGCCGGTAGGACTTGGTGATAAGTCAGGTTGAGGATAGAACAAGTCCGGGTTTTTCCTGCCAAGGGTAGGAGACCCATCATTGAGGAAAGAAAGCTGGTCCTGAAGTTGAAACTCGTCAATTGGATCAGAACCATAAAAGGGTAAGGAAGAAGAAGGTGAAGGAACGCTGATATGAGGAGAATTAGAGCCAACAAGCAAACTGTTGTTCGGGCTCCTCAAACTATCAGCCCAAGGCGCAGAAGAAGAGGGGTTTGGGATTGTAAGAGCAGGAGGAGGAAAGTTGACTCCGGTGCTGCTTAGCCGTGAAGAAGTAGAATTTTGCCTTGAAAGGAAAGAGGATGGTGATGAAGACGGAGGAGGAGTTGAAGGAGTAGACGGAGCGTACAAGGATAATCCCAAGTCTTTGCGAGCTTTAACAATCACAGAGTGAACCAGAGCTTCAGGACCAAATGCTAATCTAATCATCTCTTTCTCACCATGGTCTTGAATCAGAAGCAGACCCATGATTTTGGAAGCATTCTCGGGGTCCAAATTTTGGATCCGCGAGAAAACAATTCTTGTAGCTTCGTACCCATCCATGGCTGCAACTAAACCAAATACTCGTCGTTCGTTTATGAGTTGAGTGTTGTATCTATCTGTTTCTCTCTCTCTCCCTCTATACTCCCCAGGTGGCTATGTATGTTTCTCACTCCCGCTGCTACAAGTAAGGTTTCTTTCTCAACCACACACACAAGAGACCTACCTACCAACTCGAGAGGATGAGTGGTAGCACAGTGCTTTGATTTCTCATATTCCTGCAAAGCCGAAGCCCAAGAAAAGCAAGTTAAAGAAGGAAAAGAGGGGAAATAAGAAAGTGAAGTGTTTAAAAGGTGTATTCTCGTGTGGTTGTTTAAAAAGGAGACTAATGGAGGATGCCAAGAGGTTACCCTTTCATCGAAGGAAGAAGGGAAGAAGAACAACTACAAGAGCGTAAGAGAGAGAGAGAGAGACAGACATAAGATGGTGGTTGAATTTCTCTATAAAGAAGTAATGAGTGCAAAAGTTGCAGAAACAACAAAAGAAAGAAACAGCAAAAAAATATAAAAGTTTAATCTTTTTAAAAAAGGGGGGAAAAAAATACAAAGAGGAGATTTCACTTCCCACTTTATCTTCTTCTTCCCTCTTCTAAATCTCCCATCTCCCTTTCTTTCCAAATTAAAATCGAAATCCAAGTCTGAGCAGCAGAGTACGGACTTACCCATGAACGGTAATCTTCATATGATCCTCCCGGGGTTTGGCTTTCTCTGTTCAAAACAGAAAATAGCAGTCAAAGCTTACTACAATAGCCGAAGCACCCTCTCCCTTATAGCTTCTGAGCAGACGCAGAAGCAGAAGAAGAAGAAGAAGAAGAAGAAGAAGAAGAAGAAGAAAGAACCAGCAATTGCTACAACCCTCCCTCGCTGCTCTGCTCTGTTTTATGGGGTTCTGGGCCGAGTGTGGGCAGTGAAGTTAAGGCCCTTTTTCTCTCTCTCCCCTGAGATTTAATCTCTCTCTATAGCCCTCTCTCTCTCTCTGTTCTCTTTCAAAATTGAAAACAGATTAATGCCTGTGCTTATGTTTGAGGTAGGGTAATCGGGCTGTACTTCTACGTTTTCTGTAGATATATTAACGTCCTTTTTGAGAAAATTTTTGCCTAAATTGGATGTGAAAGATCTTAAGTTTTAAATTTTTTTTTTTTCACTTACAAGTTTGCATTTGCAAGTTTCAGATTTTTTATATTAGTTCTTGATTTCTAAGCATTTATAAGAAGATATATCATCACTGAGACAAGTTAGATTTGGCTGAAGTTTTTAATAAATAGATGTACTCGAAATTAGCTGTATTATTTATAACTTCCCAAAACCCCAATAATACTTTACAGATGACTTGTGGTGATATCATACATGGAGAGAAAGAGGGCAAAAAGGTCGTAGCTCGTAACCCTTTCAAAAAATATATTTGCTTGGAATGCAAAAATTGTAAGAATAAATCTGTCCAAAAAATACATAGCAACAATAGTCGTATAACCTAATAATATAAAAACCTGCATATGAGACTGCTAATAGTGCTTTGACTTCAATTATGCACGTGAATTTGAGTTTACTCTTCAATATTTAGTAATTATTCTTCTAATCTTTAATATAAGACTTAATTAAAGAGTTAATTTTGATTTCAAATATAAGTTTTATTTTTTATATTTGTTATTTTCCTCACAAGCTATTCCTATTATTAATTGATATGTGCAGCTCCTAATATTAATTGATTAGCAAGTTTAATTGCATTATTAACAATAAATATTGTTTTACAAATTAGACAGAATGGAGTTTTTTTTTTATTAGAAAGATAGAAAATACTATCAATCATCCCTCTTATAAAAGTTATAAAAATTAAAATAGTCAAATTACATGTAAACTACTGCTAACAATCCCACCCTTTTTTTTTTTTAAACAGTCCCACTTATTTGTGATGGTATGTGAAATGCATCGACCTTTTTCCAATGTTTTTCCTCAATTTATTTATATAGAGTATACCTATATTTATGATACTCTTTCAGTTTTTAATATAAAACTTATTTAATTAATTTGATTAGATTAAAAAAGTTAAATAAGTTAGTTAATTATAAAAAAATATGACATGTTTTTTCTAAAACATCGTAAGCATCTTTCTTAATATCCTCTCTTTCTCTTCTATTTGATTATGTTTGAGAAAAATTAATTTTAAAAAAATTAATAAATATAAAACAATATGAGTATAATTTTATAATTTAGATCTGTGCTCGGAATAGTGCACGTTCGCTTGCCCCTACCTTCTGACACTATTTTTAAACTTTCAATTTCTGTGCCTTTCTTTCCCGAGCAGAGCACACTCACGCTATGATTTTTGTCTGACGCTCTCGGAGGAGCTTGCTGTTCACGCTCCAATAGAGTCCCTGATGAGCCTTGTGGGCCCTCCCGAGCATTCCATGATCAGCATTAGTTGGTGAGTAATTTTCACGCGCTGATGGCGTCGCCTTGATTGGGTCATCATGTGTTATTATAGGACAGTCAATGCTTTTCCAATCAAAATACTCTCACCATCGTTCTCTGACTCGAACACTCCCTACAGTTATATCTTTGTTCTTAGCCACCTCTCTGCAGTTACGTTAGTATAGTAAAATATTAACAGGATTTTTTTTTTTTTTTTACTTTAGTACTTTACACGCCAAGATTCAAGAATCAAATACACTATCAGATCTTCAATCAATGGTCAAATATACAATGAGATACTGACCCCATCAAACGACATGTTAATCATTAATTTAATGATACATCGATGAAGATGGAATTGGTTTACTGCCCCCATTTTTTATTTTTTAATATAAAATTTTGTTTGATTTTTATTTTAATCTAAATATAAAATTTTAATTTATTTTATCTCTCATATTTATACATTTTGCCTCAAGATAGTTCTATAATAATTGTAATTCTAGTCAATATACTTGATTAGTAAGAACATTTTAAGAAAGACAATATATATTTATTACAAATAATTAGTTTAACTCCTTTTCTTAATTTACTCAAATTAATCAACTAACTTTTATATTTACTACCAAAAGTAGTATTATTGATCAACTATTAATGTAGTTTTCATGTTAATTTAAAAATAAATATCCAGAAGCGAGCCAAAAAATAAATATCCAAAATAGATTTTACTGGTATTTACAAAGTAGCATGAAAGATTTTTCTCTCATATTTTGTTAATATATAAAATATATATATACATTTAGCATCCTAATTTTATTTCATAGAGGCATCTAACATCTTGATCGCCCTGCTCTTATTTTTCGTACATAGGACTCCGATGTTATATTCTGGGAGCACAACGGTTATTTGAGTTTTATCTGTTTACTGAATAATGGAAAAACAAAAAAAAAAAATCTGCTTTGACGGTTTAGATAGCAGCAACCTCAGTATTTGTGCAGCTCGTCAAAAAAAAAAAACCTCAGTATTTGTGCTGTTGACTAAAATGTCTTTTTATTGTTACTTGCGAACACTTACCCTTTTTTATTTATAAATTACTTTTAACATATTTTACATAAATTAAAAAATATTAAATTTTATTAATTCTCATTTAAAATTTAATAAATTTTAATTTTAATCTTATTTAATACATATATTATACATCATATAAATAAAGTTAGTATAATAATAAATAAAGAATAAAATTGCATATATATATAAAAAATTTCTCTTAATACCATATAAATAAAATAAAAAAAATCTTATTTCTCTATTATATAAATAGAACCAGAAGAGTAGTATGTATGGGGATATTCAAATTGGCTTGCTGTGCAAATATTTCTTTTTTTAAAAAAAAGGATCAAATAATATTACAAAAAAAGGAGAAAATATCCTTATTATAAGTATATAACTGAAGTCCAATAAAAATGAGAAAATTTAGATAGTACAGAATAAGAACCATAAACAACTATTACATCTAAATGAGAGAACAGTTGACAAAGAAAGCCGATGTTGTTTAAAATAGTTTCATCAGTTCTGTTTTTGCAATTCTTAAGCTGAGCAAATTATTTGACAAGGACCAAAACTTGGCGATTGATTATCCGAAGAGAAGGAGGAGTCGATGATTCAACAAAGGGAGGGATGATCAGAAACACTGCTAATTAAAATTGTGAATTCCTACTAATTGGAATTGGATCTAATAAAAAGGGTTAGTCTTTCATAACGTGGTAAATTAAGGTTTGAATCCCCATTAAAAGAAGTGTTTACATTTAGTGTCTATAATACTTTAAATAGGATTACTTCCAATAAGAAAATACTTATGTTTTAGTTTAAAAAAAATTGTGATTTCCTGACCCACTGAAAATGCAGCAAAAGTCTAACTTGAAAACAAATCCGAGAATTACATATTCTGAGCAAATATGATTATGAGAAAATGATTTAAAATATTATGTACTTTTTGTCTTTCTCGAGAAAATGATCTTTCATTAGTTCACAGTAAAAGGGATGAAAGTTGTCGTTGATCTTGTTGGGCAGGAGATTCGCACCCTTGCACTAATACTGGATGAAATTTAAAGATGATTAAATTTTATCCCATCCAAGCATAAATATTTTACAAAATACTCATATCATCTCATAAAGAAAGTGTTTTGTTTTATCCTTAATGCAGATCACCTCATTATATTAAATTTTACTTCTAATCTTGTTTTCTCTTTTTTAGGTTGGCCTAATATGTTTTCTCGACCATTAATTTCTTAATATATATTAACCAAGAATTAAATTGAAAGTTATTAAATTTTTTGCTGTTACAAAGTTAATAAATTTTAATACATAATTACTGAAATTTAAGATTTTTTAGATTCGAATAAAATATGTTAGCAGTGATTTACAAATAAAATAATTGAAAAGATATGTTTGAATATTTTGCTTTTCTTAAACACCTCTTTTTGTTATTATGACAACATTCGAGTCCCCATGCACAACAAGTTAATTGAGGCGTAAGATAAATTTTTAGTATAATAGTTATTTAACTAATTTGAATAAATTAAGAAAAATAACTCAATCAATTAATTATAACAAATGTGACATAATTTTTATAAAATATATTTGTATGATATTAAGCTATATATCAATTTATATATTAGATAAATTAGTTTTTTTAAAAATGATAAATTTATAAGATAAAATGAGTTAAAATATTACATTTAAGATCAAATATAACACATAACTAAGTTTTATATTAGAATCGGAGATAGCACATTTGACAAAAGTGTGAAATTTTAAGAGCTAACATTATTATTGGTTCTTACAGTTTGATCCAATCTTAATTTTGATTCTTGTAATTTCAAATCCTTAGTTTTGGTCCTTATAATTTTACAAGGACTACACCTTTTAAGTATAGGAACCAACACAAAAACTCAGATAAAAATTATGAAATTATAAAGATCAAAACCAACGATTCAAAACATTAAAAATCAAAATCAAAATTTAATCAAACTATAAGGACTAATAATTATATTAACCTAACTTTTAACCAACTTTTTTCATTTTTGCCCCCATAAATCTATGATTGTTTCATTAATTATTTTTGGTACACTTCTTTTGCCTACTCATTCACTCTCTCTTTATGAAAAAAGGCACCTTTACACAGTTGTTATCTTTTAACTAATTTTAACCAAATTTTTAATAAACATAATTCAATTATTTGTATTTTAATGTGTACAACAGAAGTGGGTATAGTTTTGTTAAACTTAGTTGGAAATTTTGAATCTTGGATTATAATTAAATTTGGATGTTGATGGGAATTTGCTTTCTCCCTTGTCCTCATCGAGATGCCCCACAACTACATATGAAATGATGATTGAACCTCACTCACTTTCTCTTATTTTCTTACCTTTTTCTTCAATTCCAAACACCAACTCATCATAGCTTGTGAGATGCACATATGTTACAGCAGGCAATTCACTCACTTTTGCTTAATGCTAATATCTCAGT